ATTATTCAGCTCGTGTCCATGAGTGTATGCTTTCACAGCAACATCCACGCCTCATTTGTCACATCCAGTTTCAAAACACTGACATGGCAACATTGGAAATGTCATCTCAAGGCTTCAGAACAGGACAAACCAGCAGGTGACAGTACAGTATCCATCTTTTATATTATCTATGGGTGGAAAAAGGAGCTGTGAGAAAAAACATTCACGGGATTCTTCTTTACGTCGAAGGCTAAAAACAGGAAGGAGGTGATTTATTACGACTAACACGTTCATTCTGAGTTTAAGACACTTAAACTAGACTGAGCCCATTCGCCAATTTACTGCAACAAGTGGATATAGATGAAAAGCTATTGTGTGAAATGCATGTTTGAGACAACTGCGGCTTTTTGCACCGCAGAGTGAAAACAAACAAATACTTACTACGCAGAACATCAGTGCAGAGCTTTACGAGATGTTCGTCTGAGGGAGGCTTACCCTGGAACACACAATTACACTTTGATTCAGCTGAAGCCGCTCTGGGACTTGGAAAACATGCTGTGGCTCGTGCCTGCAGATTTAGAGGATCTTCTCAGTGCTCAGTTCTCCATCTTCACGTAGCTCACACACACTGACAGCAGTGTCACAGTAACTCCCAACCCTGACCTCTCCAGCTGTGGCAGCAAAGCGTCTTTTTTTATTCTCGCTGCTATGGTTGTTAACATCAGATAAGAAAGAGGCACACTTACAGGTTTGCCAGGATATCCCGGTTGGCCCGGTTGGCCCGGTTGGCCTGGCGACCCCTCCTGTCCGGGAAATCCCCTGGGACCAATGACACCCATGTGGCCCATGTCGCCCTTCTTTCCATCGGGTCCTCTGGGGCCCGTATCACCTGTCACTCCTTTCTGAAGCAGCAACAAAAGAGCACAAAAAAGTCACAAAACAAGTGAAACTGATGCGTATCTGCAGTTACTGACTGCTGAACACTTTGTCTTAACACTCCTAACAACTGCATAAGCAGATAAATAATAAGGCTTGTGGGAAGGTTGTGTAATAGCTAATAACAGCTAATAACAGTGGGATACTGTTACCTGTCAAACACAGGCTTGTCCTCATTCAAAAGCCGTTCTCTTGTAATGTAAGAATTTAAAACATCGTAGCATATCAACATTGGTGTTAGCTCGGCAGTAAGACACTGCAAACTCATCCTCAATCTCCAATCATTTTTGGGGCGTCCATGAGTGACAC